AAGGGAGGGGCCCCCGTAGAAATCCCCCTTAGAGGGGCCCCCTTAGAGAGGGGCCCCCTTAGAGAGGGGCCCCCTTAGAGAGGGGCCCCCTTAGAGGGGCCCCCAGCAGTTGGGTTTAAACGCGTAGACTAGATGGCTGTACCACCATGCTGCTGCTGCTGCTGCTGCTAATAATGTTGTTGCTGCTGCTGCTACTGCGGCCCCTAAAAGGCTAGGAGGGCCCCCAGGGGCCCCCAAGGGCCCCCAAGGGCCCCGTGTCTCGTTTATTACTTTGGGGGAGGCTGATTGCACTATGTGCCGCTAAAGTACGATAGAAGAGAGCTAGGGTTTAGGGTTTAGGGTTTAGGGTTTAGGGTTTGGCTTTTCGTCGGCAAGGTCTTCTTCGGTGATAAACCCTAGGCGCTTCCACTCGGCCAATCTGAAGACAAATAAATAAATAAATAAAAATATAAATAATATATAAATAAATAATAAATAAATAAATAAATAAATAAATAAATAAGAAAATTTGTGTTCAAGAGAAATGATTTGTGCAGCGGGACAAAGAAATGAATACAAATGAAGTGATAAACGGTAGCAGCTAACAGCAGCAGCAGCAGGGACAGCAGCAGCAGCAACAGCAGCAGCAGCAACAGCAGCAGCAGCAGCAGAACCAGAAACAGCAGCACGAGCAGGAACAGCAGCAGCATCATCAGGAAAAGCAGCAGCAGCAGCGGGAACAGCAGCAGCAGCAGCAGCAGAAACAGCAGCACCAGGACCAGCAGCAGCAGCCGCAGCAGCAGCAGCAGCAGCAGCAGAGCGGACGTGGTGTTTCCGAGTTCCTTGCGGAGTTTGTCTTCGAGAGAAAGAACTTCTTTTTTGGAATCTTTTAAATACTTTTCTGGATATCTAATTTGAGTAAAAGGAGAAACTCCTTTTGAGAGCCACAAATAGTAAAAACAAACGCTAGACAAACCCATCAAACCCACCTGCAGCCCCTGCAGCAGCAGCAGCAGCAGCAGCAGCAGCAGGAGCAGCAGCAGCAGCAGCAGCGGATGGGTTAAATTGAATAATTAAATAAATAAGTGAATGAATAAGTCTTAATTAGCGGGACTTGCAACAGGCAAGGGCACGGCGCAAGAAGCAGCAGCAGAAGCCTCTTTGACAGCAGCAGCAGCAGCAGCAGGGAAAGAGAAGCATCAGCTTAAATAGAAGCAGCAGCAGCAGCAGCAGCAGCGTCGACACCAGCTTAAACAGACGCAACTGCAGCAGAAGCAGCAGATCAGTTAGTAGCAGCAGCAGCAGCAACGTCGACACACAGACGCAACTGCAGCAGCAGCAGCAGCAGCAGCGCATGTAGAAGCAGCAGCAGCAGCCACCGCTGTTATATGACGTCCACTACTGCTTTTTACTGCTGTTGCTGCTGCTGTTGCTGCTGCTGTTGCTTCTGCTGTTGCTGCTGCTATCCGCAGCTACTGCTACATTCGCTGCTCGTATTTTTGCCGCTGCTGCTGTCTCCGCTGTCGGTGCTGCTCCCGCTGCTGCTCCCGCTGCTGCTCCCCCTGCTCCTGCTCCCCCTGCTGCTTTTTCGGCGGCAGCAGCTGCTGCTGCTGGTGCTCCTGCTGCTGCTGATGTTTCCGCTGCAGTTGCTGCTGCTTTTGTTGCTGCTGGTGCTGCTGCGGCTGCGACTGCTTCGGCTGCAGCCGTCGGCGCCATGCTGCGGTTGCTGCTGCTGCTGCTGCTGCTGCTGCTGCTTCGAATTAGAACTATTTTAAATGTTTTATTTAAATTCAGAATTAAATTAATTTAATTTGAGTCAAATTTACTGACATTGGGCCGCCCCCTTTCTATGATGAAGATGTAGCGCAGCGCCGACCGCAGGAAACCCATCTCTAGGGTTTAGGGTTTAGGGTTTACGCGGCTCAGAAGCAGCAAAAAGCAGCCAAAATAAAACCAATTCATTAAATAAACAAAAGAAAGAACAAAGGCCAACAAAGAAGACAAAGAAGGCCACAAAAGCCCCGAAAACCCCCCCAGGGGGCCCCCAGGGGGCCCCCCGGGGGCCCCTAGGCGGCCGCGGGGGGCCCTCCGAAAGGCTGTTGCTGAAGAATAAGAAAAGAAATGAATTTAAAAATCCTTTTAATTAATTAATTATTTGTTTATTTATTGGATTAATTAATTAATTAATTTATTTATTTATTTATTTATTTACTTTTTGTTCTCCTCGTTCGACTTCGCCTCGCGGCGCCTGTGTGTCTGCCCGATTTAGCTCCAACACTAAACCCTAAACCCTAAACCCTAAACCCTAAACCCTAAACCCTAAACCCTAAGCGTAGGCACGAGTGCTCCCCCGAAAGGACTTCGCCCTCCCCCTGCAGTTGCGAAAAGCGGGCAAACTGGGCAGCTAGCTGGCAGCAGCTAGCCATGGCTAGCTGCGGCTAGCTGTGGCTAGCTGTGGCTAGCTGTGGCTAGCTGTGGCTAGCTGCAGCTAGCTGTGGCTAGCTGTGGCTAGTTGCAGCTAGCTGTAGCTAGCTGTGGCTAGCTGCAGCTGGCCGTAGCTAGCTACAGCAAGCTGTAGCTAGCTAGCTGCAGTTGGAAATGGCTAGCTGTAGGTAGCTGCAGCTAGCTGTAGCCAGCCAGCTGTGGCTAGCTGCAGCTAGCTAGCTGCAGCTAGCTCGCCGTAGCTAGCGAGCTACCTGGGGCTAGCTAGGTACCTGTAGTTAGCTAGCTGTAGCGAG